GCTCTTTATCATGAAAGTATCTTATTTCTCCATCAATTTTGAAAGATAGTTTTGCAGGGTACATCAATCTGGGTTGGAGGCTGTTTTCCTTGAGGTCTTGAAATACATCACTCCAAGCTCTTCTTGCCTTGAGGGTTTGCATTAGGGGAAAAGAACTTGACATACAGGTAAGTGAGAAATATAGGACTCCAGCTGGCCTTGATCAAAAATCTACACATAGGCATATAATAGTTAGGATTCCAGAAATCCAACAGAAGAATAAAATTCTACAAACAGTGAGAGAAAAGAAACAAATCACATACAAAGGAAAGCCCATCAGAATCACAGCAGACTTCCCCGTTGATTTTCAATTCTCGGTTAGAGCAAGCTCTGTCCAGGACAATAGATCCAGCTCCACTTCAGAATCTAGAACATAGTGTGGTTCCTAAAAGGAGTCTACAAAGAGTACAGAGCGCTACTGTGCTTGGACTCAGGCCTGAGAAACTACAAGAAACTCTCTGAAACGCCGCGGTACGGAAGTGGCATGGAAAACCTTCTGTCTCGTCCAACTCCAAGCCGGAAGAGCGGACCTCTCCAATCAGACAAATCACGCATGCGTAGGATGAAGAGGCGTCTGCGGCTGGAGGAGCTGGCGCGCGCACGCAGCAGCCGGACGAAGTGGGAGCGCGCGCCGGAGGAGATCGAGAGCGCGCGCGGCGACCCGGCCTTAACTATGGCTCACAGGCCCCAGAGAACCTTCCGGCGGCGCAAAGTGGACTCTAGCGATAGCGATGGCGACCAGGATCCGTCAGCTGAGCCTGAGGCCCAGACCGAGCAGGGGTCCCCGGGCTCGCCGGAGGAAGGTCCGCTCCCCGGAGTCCGCTCTGAGGTGGCGGGGCCGCAGCGCCGGGCCCGGGTCCCTCGGGGCCGGGGTCGAGTCTGGGCGAGCTCCCGACGCACGGACGGCGGCTCGGGTGTCCCAGGTGAAGCGGGGCGGGAAGGGGCCCTGGGTGTTCTCTAGAGGTTCCCAAACCTGCAGATCACCACCCGCGCTGGTCTCGGAGATACTGAGCTCTTAACCTGCAAGCATTCGCCCGCGGCCTGCATGCCCACGTTGGGCTCCCAGGGCTGGAGTGGGCCTGGGGGAATAGAGTCCTGCACGCTGGTGGCTCTTTTTGCACCATCAGCCGACCTGTAGTTAAATTAAGTGATGCTTGTGAAGAACCTAAGGCGTCAGAAAGTAGTGAAAGAACTCCTGGTAGCATACATTGGTGAGAGTTGTATGTACCTTTTGGAAAATTTGCCCATGTTTTCTAAAGTACACTTAACAAGAATAGTACATTAAAAAATATAGTCCACAGATTTGGGAACTCTTTTCTGGCTTTTTGCTTTCATCAGTTATTTGCAAAATCCGAGATTAAAAAAATGACATATGTAACACTTAAGAATCCTAATAGAGATTGATGATGCTGTGGGATGTGCCGCTAATGACATTCAATAACAGTGTGTCGCTTTGAAGTAGCTTTGAGTTCTTAAATACGGGTTTCAAGCAGCATAAATTCTTTACATAAAATGTGTTGCTCTAAGTTTGGTACTTAATAAGGAAAACAGTTTTTGCTTAGTCTTGAGCTCAAAAATTTTCTCCCCACTCCTTTTAGTCTCACTAAAGAAATCTTAGTGATTTCTTATAAACTTGATTTTTTAGAAATAAAAATTGTGTACATTGAAGAATGGCTAAATTGAGCTAATTAACATGCATTATCTCACATTTGTGTTTTTTTGTGTGATGAGAATATTTAAAATCTCAGTACAATCATAGTACAAGTACTATGTACAATAAATTGTTATTTACTGAAGTTAACCATGGCTTCGTTCCCTTTACATGATGTCTTACAGGTTAATAATCTTTGTGATTTCTTGGTCATTGTTAGGACCTACTTGTATAAAGTTCTGATGACTTTCATATTTATACTGTAAAATGTGTCAGTCATCTGGTTAAACTTTAGTAGGGGGGATTAAGGCCAGGAGTTGACTTTACCTTTGGCTCTTAGAGCACTTTTCAAAATTGTGACCTTTGGAGTACCTTTATACTGAACTCTTAAAAATGTTTAAGGATCACAAGAACTTTTGTTTCTCCATGTTATATCTATTAGTGCTTACCATATCAGACATTTTTTAAATGTTTAATTAATTTAAAAAATACTCATTACATGTAAGAATAAGTAAAATTTTGTGAAAAACAACTATTTTCCAAAAACAGTGGAATAGTGACATTGTATTCAGTTTGCATATCTCTTTTATATCTGACTAAAGAGGAGACACCTGAATTCTTATAGCTGCTTCTGCATTCAATTTCTTGTACTGTGTCGTTTTGAAGAAAACACAACCTCTCACAGATATATGGTTAGAGGAGTACTTTTTAGATTACTAAGGATGTTCTGCTTTAATGTTACAACAAAGTACAAAGAATAATAGTTTGTGAAAAGGAAAGTTGCAACATGAAATCTTAAAACACATCAATAATTTTGATAATCTGTTACAAAAATCCATAGGTCTATTTTGCACTTTGCATAGATCTTTCACTCATTCAAGACTGTTAATATCAGCCATTGAATATTTGGGAGGTATCTGTTCACTAAGTTCACACATCTTGATGTACTTTCTTATACATTATCAAAATATTACTGTTAATATTACCTCTGATCTTCTTAGAGTATTGGGAAGCTATCAATTTCACAGTGGAAGATGTTTTCCAAAACTCCAGTTTTCACTTAATCTCTTTAATTCTTTCAATGATAGGTACATTTTTCATAAAGTATTTATTTGTCAGGTATCCACTTCTGAATAGCCAAGTTTTGTCTTTCAGTCATTCTTTCAAATAAGGTGTCTGTCCTGGAAGCAGTGGTTAGTTCAGCTTATAGTTAAGTCACACAGGTGTAAGGCAACCATTGCATTGGAGCAGAAATGATTTATGCGTGCTTCCATTTAATCATTCACAGCTTTAAAAAGATACATGCTAACTGGCAAGATTTGATAATTCTGTCACTTTAGTTTTTCTTTAATTTTCCCTTTTCTTGTTGCATCTTTTTAGAAACATTTTATTTACTGTATAGATAATGTGAATAGAGTAAGTCTTTGTACATTTAATAGACCATCCAGTTATTTTAGATAGACTGGAAGTAGGAGAAGGATCTCCTTTAATATGTGGAGTATGGTCGAAATATCACAATTTTATATATATATATATATATGCCATCAGTTGTTTAGAATTCAATTATTGATTCCAATATTTTGACTCTTTCTTGTTATATTTGAAAAAATTAGAATCCAGAAGAGTTGATCTATCAACAGATGAAGAAGATGGAACACACCACTCCTCAGAGAGTAAAGATGATCAGAGTTCATCCTCTGACAGCTCTAGCTCTCTGGAAGAAAGAAAATTTTCATCAGTAGGTTGGTCATTTTTATAGTTTTAAGAAGTTCTCTGTGTGTGTGTGTGTGTGTGTGTGTGTGTGTGTGCACGCGTGCGCGCACACTCAAGATTGAATCCGGGTCCCTGTAATATCAGTGTTTCCTTATAATCCTTATTGTTGATGAAACAACAAAGTGTGGAATGTGGGGCAAGTAGATTCTTACTCCTGATTATTAGAATGACAGAATTTTCACTGTATAACATTTCCAAGGTCAGTCAGCTTATAAGAGGCTGGGGTAGGACTTAAACCAAAGTAGTCTTCTTCAGGGTTTGTTTTTAACTGCTGTGCTATACTGGGAGATTTACCTTGTTTGTTAGTCACTTTCCAGTTGCTGGACACAATACCAGACACCCGTAACTTAAAGGACGAGAAGTTTAATTTGGCTTATGTTTTGAAAGGATTTGGTCCATGGTTGGCTGACTCCAAAGCAGAAATACGATGAAAGGATGTGGTGGAACAAAGCAGCTTAGTTCATGGTAGCCAGGAAATAGAGCAGGGAGGCAGTGCCAGAGAGGAAGGGGTAAGGGAACCAGATGTAGAGCTCAAGGCCATGCCTCTATGACCCACTCATGCACCCACTAGTGTTCTTCACCAATCCCCCAGGTGGATCCCAAAGGCAATCACGTTGACACTCCACCTTAACCACCACACCATGATACTTGAAGGATGATAAGAATTTGTCATTGAGGATGTTTCAAGTACATGGTGTCATATCTAAAACTCTAGAGAAGATAACTTAATATGTACAAGAAACTAAAAATAGCCCTCAAGATGATATGATCTTTTTTTTTAAAGACCAGTCTATTTCCAGAGGTCAGCCAGTTACCATTTGTGGGCCAGATGTAACCTACTACCTGTTTTTGTAAAGTTTTGCAGCCACATTCTTTCAGTTACATTTTTATTGTTTAAAGCTACTTTGCCCAGCAGTGACAAGAGTTGAGAAGTTATGACAGATTTTATATCCCACAAAGTCAAAAATATTTATCTGGATCTTTAGTCAAGTGTTTATAACTTGTTTTATGTTAAAGACTCGTTTTGCAGTCTAGTGAAGCTCTATAGTCCCTTTGAAAAAATTGGAGTAAAATATGTAGCTTTATAAAGGACACATTGTTTTGAAAATAATTAAAATATATTTTAAAAGATTGCTAATTAGTAATAAGTGCTTCTTTATTAAGTCATTGAATAATAATAGCTTTATTGCCTTGTAATCTTTTTTTTTTCCTTATCCAGTTTTACAAGGTACAGAAGTCCTAAGTGATGAAGTCAATATTAGGAATTTTGAACCTGGTAGACATTTGAAGCCTTGTTTAGTCTAAATGTAGCCCTGCCCAATAGAATGTTCTGTTCTGGAAAGATTCTGTGTTTCCACTGTCCAGTACAGTAGCCAGTAGCCACATATGAAATGTGGCTAGTGCAACTGAAGGATTCAATTTTTAATTTAGTTACATTTAAATGGTCACATATTGCTAGTGGCTACTGTAAAACAGTGTGGCTGTAGAAGATGGTGAGTTAAATACTGTGAGAGTATGGCTATCAAGTGTTTGCAGCACTGCCCACCTGAAGAGAGGGCAGTGTTTGGAAATGTGTGGGCTGGTTTTTCATGATCATAGTGATTGAAGTGGTGTTGGCATCTAGTGCCACTCAGGGGTTCCAGAAGTGAGAAACAGCTTCAACAAGATGTCAACAAAACCTGATGAGTAAGAGAGCTAAAAATAAGATGGAATGGTTTCGCTATATTTCCTGATACATCTAGATTGGGCTCATCTCTGCAAATTGCATTTCATCTATATTAAATTAATTTTCTTTCTTTACTGAGGTAGATTTTGATAGATTTATTAATTTATATGGCATGTATCAAAATATTTAGGAACATGATACCTTTTTTGTTAAGTGTAACCGGTATGTATTTGAGGCATTTCTGTTGGTGTTTGGTTTTCATTGTCCTCCTCTTTGTTTCTTTCAGTTAAAATCCCCGATGCAGCTTTTATTCAGACAGCCCGTAGAAAACGTGAATTGGCCAGGGTCCAAGATGACTATATTCCTTTGGATCTAAAACATCCCTCCACCAGCTCTGCTATGAAAAGAAGCAGTGATGAGGATCCTGAGAGTGAGCCCGATGACCACGATAAAAGAATACTATTTACCCCAAAGCCCCAAACACTTAGACAAAGAATAGCTGAAGAAATAGGTACATATTTTATTTATTGACCAATATATGATTGTGGCATTTTTCATTAGAATATATGATGATAAAATCTTCATTAAAATGTAATGTACCATCTCACATTGTAAAGAATGTTGATGCTGGTTTTTATTTATTATCAATTTGGTCCTGCCATTGTGGCCTCTAAAAGATGTGTATGTATCAAAATATTGTTATCATAGGGTATATGTAATAATGTTGACAAAGGCCTGACCCCCACTTGATTTTTGACAGATTAAAGAAATTATACGTAGTCTTATTTTTGAAACATTAGAAACTTATTATCACATTTGTAAAAATAGTTGTTAAAGATTTATTTATCGTAAAAGATCTTAGCTTATTTTCTAAGATTCTTTAGAGATTTTAGGTGTAGGTTTCTTTTGGCAGTAATACTCAAGTCTCAAAAGGTATTTTCACATTTCTGTTTTATAACATATGTCTTACCAAATGTTTCTTCAAATGTTTTTTTCAGAATGAGAGTGTGGTTCTTTGTAAGCCCAGAATTATTTTTGTTTAAATTCTCAGGTAGGAATTAGAGGTTTTTGATAAGAAAAATCAAACATTTCATATTTTTCAGTCTTTTCCACATTAGTGGGGCTGAAATGTTTGAGTGGGCATGGGCAGTAAGAGTGTAGGTTTTCAAGTCCGATCACTGAATTTCAATTCTAGCTGCAACAAAGTCTTCAGACAAGTTATTCACACCACAGTATGTGAGTTCACTCATATAGTTAGCACAATAGCATTGCCTTCCTGATTGCTGTGAAGAATAAATAATGTTTAAAGTGTATTTAACCTGCATAAAACAGCCCCCTACACATGATGGCTCCTATGATGGAAATGGGAAAATATAAAATGTTTATTTGTGAACTTTTTTTTTTCTTTTTATAGCAAGCAGAAATGAAGAAACAAGTGAAAAGAGCCAGGAAGATGAAAATCAGGATATTTGGGAACAGCAGCAAATGACAAAAGCAGTAAAAATCACAGAGGTAATATTTTCTAACACTGTATATATTAGATTTCTGTAGCTACCGTAACAAATTACCACCGACTTGGTAATTTAAAAAGACAGATAATTGTTCTCTCCTAGTGTGCAAGCCAGATATCTGAAATCAAAGTTGGCAGGACTGTGCCTCCTTCAAGGGCCAAGGGGAAAATCTGTACTTTCCTTTCCCAGCTTCTGATTATTCTGGTGGTTTCTTGAACTTTGATGGCTAAACTCATCCCTGCCCCTGCCTTCCTGCGGCCTGATCTTCGTCGATGCGGGCTCCTATAAGGACATCTACTTTACAGATGTCTTCGGGATCTTCCAGACAATCCAGGATGACCTGGGAGGGATGGCAAGTTGGAAGGTTTGAGAAAGCCTCCACAGAAGTAGTGATAGTTTAATGGGTTGTTCAGATGTGTTTATGGTGTAAGAGATTTGAAACTGAAGGAATCAGGAGTGTTTGGGGATTTGCAGGTAAGATTGGAGCCAGCTGGGAGGCTTGGTGAAAATTGAGATGAGAAAGGATGATGGCTTTATGGAAAATATAAAAAGGATAATTAAGCTAATGAGTTTGCTGAATATCTGGTACACATCCTCCATATGTCCTTGTCTGAAATAGAGGTTCTTCACAACACTTTGAGCATTTCAAGCTTAGTGGTAATAAGCTGTCATTAGCCAGAGAAACTACTGTGACTTCTATGACCTTGTAAGATGTATTTGGAATTCATTCCCTTACAAGTATTAGAAAACCCAAATAATAGTGCCTTTACTCACATTGCTTCTTCCAGAACTACACAGTATATTAGACAATAAACAAAATGAGCTTTGAACGCTTTAAGAAATGAACTTCTGTGAAAAATCAGATTTATATATGAATTCAATGCTTTAAAATTTAAAACTGGAGATTTTGAAAACATTTAATTATTACCATGAAAACAAATGCATGGGATTTTGAGCAAGAAAGGTATCCAGTCTCTTTTGTAAGGTAAATGAAATTTTTTTTTAAAACTTAATTTTCTTATTTAGGGAAGAGACATAGACCTTTCCTACAGCAGTGATTCTCTAACAGTGAAGAAGTTTGCTATTTCCATTTCATTTCCGCCAGTAAATTTAGAAATTATAAAGAAGCAATTACACACCAGGTGAGTCATGATTATTTTGAAATTTACATTTTACTCAACGTTTAATAATGAGAAAGAACTACATTCTTTTTAATAAATGATTTATAGAGAAAAAAATTTACCTGCTGTGTTACCACATCAACACAACTGATTTTGTCTTTTCACTTTTTATAACCTAAAATCAGTAATTATAAAATTCTGCTTTTTTTTACTTAATACAGAAAAAGCATTTTTCTACATTGCCAGAAAGTCTTAACTTTTAAAAAATCCCTGTAGTGAATATATCACAATTTACATAAGTATTTCTCCAGTGGACATTTTGATTTCTAAGTTTCCTCTGTTTTTGCTATAGATAATAAAAATTTTGTTCCTGTAAATCTTTTAATCTGTTGAAGTTTTTTCCTTATCATAAATTAACAGAGAAAGTTCTCTGTGGTGCAGGCCAAATTTTTGTTTCTTGGTGTGGGTTGCCTTAAGCACAGCTTTTATTCCACCAGTGTTAATACTTATCTCTTAAATAGTACTAACCTTAATGTAAGCAATATTTTTGGTAAAAGTATGGCAAAACACTTCATAGATTGTTATGTTTTAAATATTTCTATTTTGTATTAGACTGCTCAGGATTTATTATGTGTTATTAGACATATGAAACAATGAATATGCTGAATTATGAATATGCTGAATTAGTCCTTATAACAGTTTGATACAAAGGAGAGGGTTTGGTTCTGCTTTTAAAAGAACATTTTCATTGCTTTTCTATCTCCTGAGAATAGGCTCAATTTTTTGTTCCTCAGTGTCTTTTCTATAAATCAGCTTTAAAGTACTTCATTCTTTCATCACATTGCAACCAAAATGTACTTGTAGTTGTTCACTTAAGTGAAGATTTGATGTAGAAAAGAATTTTGTAGCATTTTGTAGTGAAATAAATGCTTCAACATCTTGAAATGTATCAGTTTTTAGATATTATATTATCTCTCATATTCTAGGAATTTGACAAACTAGCAGCTCCTCTGTTTTTGTAAATAAGGCGGAGAGGGGAAGAAGAAGGACAAAAGAGAGAAAGAAGAGAAAGAGGAGGAGTGGAGAATGAGAAAAGCAGGAAGAAGAAAGAATGAGGAAGGAAGGAAGGAAATGTGTTTCTTAGTCCTCCATTGATGTATATGTATGACTGGTGGCTGAGTTTTGAGAGATAAACAGTCATTGAATTATATTGGACTGTTTTTTCCTGTAACATCAGTTGAGATATAGGTTATTCACAAGAGCTGAAAGAAAGTACACCATCTTAACTTTAACAGAGCAGCTTGTAGGGAACTGCAACAGAACAGCAGCAGAGGAAGCAAAATGCACCTCCAGGAACAGCAGATTCTTACAGCAAACAGATGGTCACGAAACGTAAATTTGAATCATCCCAAGCCATAGCATGTTTAAGTGGCGTTAATGCCAACTCATTCAGATACCCATGTTCTAGGACCACGGATTAACACTAACTGCACGTGGACTTTGAAATATAAGATCATTGATTTTTTTTCAGAACCTAGTTTATACTTTTTCATCAATATTAGCCTAAAACCACATTCATTAACTTCTGTAAAACTAGCCTGTTATTAGCATTGACCTATGAAACCCTACCAGTGTCCTTTCTTATGGTTCCCCCTTGAAACATCTCTAATTGTGGTCTCCTCTGCTTATCAAATATAATAAATCCAGTGTATATACTCATCAGTGTCCTTTCAAAGTTATCTTTGAAAACATTTGCAGTAGAAAGCTACTTTAAAAGGAAAAGTTTGAAAAGTAAAGCATTTTAATTTTAATTTAATTTTTTAGATTAACATTGCTACAGAATACTCATCGCTCACACCAGAGAGAATATGAAAGATATGTAGAAGATATCAAGAGCTCAAAGAGTACAATCCAGAATCTAGAGAGTTCATCAAATCAAGCTCTAAATTATAAGTTCTATAAAAGCATGAAAATATATGTGGAAAATTTAATTGACTGTCTAAATGAAAAGGTACATAATATTTCCTTTTTTGAGAGATACCTTATGCAAATTAGAAAGGTAAAAGTCTAAATTACTATATAATGTTTTTCTATGGCATTTTTCCTACACTTTTTTTTTTTATTCATTAAGTTTATTAGTACAATTCTTTTAATTCTTTGGGGAAGATTCCCAGTAGGGGAATAGCTGGGTCAAATGGGACCTGTAGTCCTAGTTCTTTGAGGTATCTCCATACTGATATCCACAGTGGTTGCACCAGTCTGCACTCCCACCAACAATGGAGAAGGGTTCCTTTCTCTCCACACCCCTGCCAGCATTTGTTATTGGTTGATTTCTTGATAGCAGCCATTCTTTGTGGGGTGAGGTGGAATCTCAGGGTTGTTTTCATCTGCATCTCTCGAATGACCAGTAATGTCAAACATTGAAAGAGTCATACCACAGCAATATATGTGTACCCATGTTTATAGCGGCACAGTTTGTAATAGCTAAAGCTTGGAAACAGCCCAAGTGCCCATCGACTGGAAACTGGATAAAGAAGATGTGGCTTTTTTATAAAATGGAGTACTACTCAGCCATAATGAATGAGAAACTAGAGTCATTTATAGCTAAATGGATGGATATTGAGGCCATACTCAAGTGAAATAAATAGGACACACATGTGTAAATACCAAATAGTTTCTCTAGTGTGAGAAATTGAAAGTGTAAATAAGGATGAAAATGATTAAAATGAATAATTGATAATTTGAAATAGGAAAAGGTCCAAGGATTTGGGGATGGCAAGAGGGGAAGGGGAAAGGGAAGAAGGGAAAAGAAAAATTATGAGAGAAAAAAAAATGAAATCAAAGTCTATGTAAATAGGGAAGGGTGGAGGGGGTGAAGGGCGCACAGGTAATGGAAAAAATAAGAACCAAGCTACATCATGTACAGGTACAAACTCTCAATGATAAATGTAAATGTATTGTATACCTAAAATGTACCAATAAATATATATATAAATAAAAAAAAGTTTATTAGTACATTTTTGGTATACAATGTGATAACTTTCATCATTGGGAATTTGTACCTTTACATGATATATCTTGGTTCTTATTTTTTTCCCCATCCCCCTGCCCTCCCTTCAACCCCTCCACTCCTCCCTATTATAGCTAAATGGATGCACATTGAGGCGATACTCTTAAGTGAAATAAATAGGACTCACATGTGTAAATACTAAATAGTTTCTGCGGTGTGAAAAACTGAAAGTGTAAATGAGGATCAAAATGTATAATAGATAATGTGAAATACGAAGAAAAGGTCCAAAGGGGAAGGGGAAGTGTGAGGGGTAGGGGAAAGGAAAGCAGGGAAAGGAAAAAATATGAGAAAAGGGAAAAAACGGAAACAAAGTCCTACACATTTTTAATATAGGGTTTTTGCAATTATTTTACAATTAGTTTGCTATGAGTAATATTATATAAAATGTTGTCTACAAAATTTTTGTTAAAATTTCAGTTTAAAAAAATTTCTAAAAAATGAAATAAGTCAAAAAAAGTGAATTATTAAATGTAAATATTTTAATGCTTAGTAAGCATCTTGTGAAGTGTCATCCAGAAAAATTTTACCAGTTTTTTTAGTTAACTAGATTGAGAGAAGAATAGATTTTGGTTTTGTATATTATATTCTGATCTCAGACAAAGCCATTGTTTTATTAGCTACTTGTAGTTTTTCTTCTTGTGGCTTGTTTATTCTTTGCTCTCTTATTTTGATTATTCAGGGGAATTGGTTTTTTCACATGTTTTTTACATGTTTTACAATGGGCACATTGTTTTAGTTTTTTAGTGGCAATGCACATTTATTTATAGCTTAAAATTTTAATGATTTATCCTATTTGATGTAAACTTTTCAATTTGACTTCATTTTTTGATTTTTGACATTCACATATTTTGAAATTTTTATATTATCGGATTTGTTAATCTTTCAATTTATACTTTGAGGGTTTTGTTTTTTGCACACTAAATTAAAATGACAAATATTTGCATGCTTTGTCCTTTATTTTTGTTTTATGTAGGCTAATTTCTAATATTTGGTAGTTACTTTCTAAGGTATTTATTACAACGTAATGTTTTTCTTCACTCATCCTTGAAAAAGGACACTGTTAAAATCTCACTGGGCACACATTGATGAATCCTTGGCAGCAGGTGTGAAACATCATTGCAGGGGAAGCAAATATTGTCCAAGAAATAATAAGAGTCCCAATGTCAACTGGTCGTGATTCTGCTTCACAACTTCCTTACCTGTGTCTGGTTAGTTTTCTTCCATTCTTCATGGTTTTTTTTCTTTCTTTTAATCCCCAGCCCCTCTGCTGCAATTTTTCATACCCTAACAGTTTCTTCAAGTGCCTCCCTATGTCTGCCCCTTGGCCTCTGAGGAACAGCTGCATTGCCTCACATTTTCTTCTACTTTCCCATCTCAAACAAAGGGGAATCCTTCCTCTTTTCTGTCACTCATGTCCATGTTCCTTCCTCCATCCCATTTGGTCCCATTATCTATGATTTTTATAGCTGTCTCCATATAGTAGGTTGCTTTTCTTTTTGATATTAAAAGTGCTTCTAGGTCTGTGCTTACAATATCTTATAACTGATATGTGATAGCATTGAAAACATTTCTTCATAGAAAAATCAAGTGTATACATATGCTTATATATCTTCTAAGTAATAATTTTTATATATTTTATAGTTCGTTATGGATGACCTGCAAAGTGTTACTTGTATATGTATTTCAGATTATCCACATCCAAGAAATAGAATCATCCATGCATGCACTCCTTTTAAAACAAGCTATGACCTTAATGAAACGCAGGCAAGATGAATTAAAACATGAATCAACGTATTTACAGCAGTTATCACGTTAGTGTTTTTTTATGTTCAATATGATTTATTTTTCATTAAGCTAACATACCATCTAGAGAATAAAAATGTTTTTATCCCTATACAAAATGTTTTTTGTGTATTTTCCCTCTAACCTTTCATCTATCCCTTTCCAAAATTCTAAAATATTTAGAGGTAGTTCAAAATACCTTAAGCCTGAAGTTAAAAGATGAATACTGTAACTTCTAATCACTCACTCTTTGAGACAAAATATTTACATGGCCATCTGATGAGTTTTAGTATATGTGCTGCCAAAGCGAGCACAAGCCATCTGATGAGTTTTGAGATGAGTTGTCATAAATCTGTAGACTCTGCCACAGATACAGCCTTACTGTTTTGAGGGCTCTTCTACAGACTGCTTCTGTTAGTTTCAATATGGATTCATCTGTCTGATCTCATTCTATAAAATTTGGAGTCTGTTTTTTAATTCTTACATTAGTTTTTTTAATCCAATGATGTCTTACTTTGACATAATTTGTCTGTGTATGATGAGACTTGAAATTAAGTACCTAGTAAAAGCAGAGGCAAAGTGACTTTCAAATATACAACGTTTGGTCAGTCATAAATAATAGTAAATGCTAAAATGGGCAATAAGATGAATAAGATCTAGCATTTGGCTATGGATAAAACTGGTAAAATTCCCAAAAAAAATGTGAGAGAAAGAAACTTTGTCGTAGAATTTTGTTACTATTCTCAAGTGCTAAACTACTTCCAGTCAAGGTATATTTTTTAAGCTAGCAAAGTTGATGCCTTTTAATACTGTGATAGGGAGTTAACATTGAAATTTTATTGCACAGTAAAATATACAATTTAAGCATATTATGTGTGTGTATTGTATGTTAACAGGCAAAGCTGAGACATCAACAAATGGAAGCTTGACTGTAGATGAAAATACTCAAAGAATTTTAGAAGAGGTGGAATCTCGAAGGTACCTATATAAAGTGAAGACTTAAACCATCATTGAGCAAGTATACTTTTCACTACCTAAATATAATTAACTATTTGATATAATCCTAACCTGACATGTTAATGTGAGATGAATATCAAACCAAAGTGTAGTTAAGCAGTCTTCAACTGCTTTAACGACACTGACTATATTTGGATCAGTGGAAAGGACTAGGTAAAATGATATATGTCAGGCTCTTAACTAGAAGCTGCTCCTAATTGTTACCCTCTCTTAGAAACTAGTTGGCCCTTAGGAATGTTCTGAGATTGTGCTATAAAAAAAAAGGGAGACCCACCAACTCAAACACAGGAAGCTAAATGTGTCAAACATAGTAACATAAAATTGTGTGCTAATATGATGCCGTGGTTTTGGCCATTTTAAATGATAACTATATTTGTTTTAAAGCTTTTTTTTTTCAGCAAGAGCTATTTGCTTTTCACTTATTTTTGGTGTATTGAAAAATGTAGGTCAAAAAGAAGACAAGCAAGGACATTTACTGGGAATTGTAACCATCAGGAGGGGACATCGAGTGATGATGAACTGCCTTCCACAGAGATGACTGACTTCCAGAAAAACCAAGGTCATTTACCAGGTTTCTAATATGTTTTGGGCCCGGAATTTAGCTCAGTGGTTTCACCACCTGCTGCGCAAGCTCAAGGATCCAAGTTCAATCCCCAGTACCAAAAAAAAAAAAAAAAAAAGTGTCTAATATGTTTTGATTGGAAGAATTGAAATGATAGGAAATACTTTGCTGTGACTGCCTTTAAATCTATGAGCTATATAAAACACAGGAAAACTTAGGAGAAATGGAACTTTTTTTACCCCTTTATGACTTTTCATACTTCTGGAAAAATGGAATATTATGGAGAAGCACTGTGCATATTCTTGCATCTTGTATAGCTTTTCCCCCTTAGACTTTCTTCTGTACACGTGAGTGTTTTGGTTTCTTTACTGCATACTGCCTGAGTTACCATTTTTAGTTTAAAACAATTGAATTGAGTGAAACTATTTTTGGCATTATGAAAGATTATAATGATTCCGGGCATTGGAGTTCAATAGACTGAGTTCTAAGAGAGGCTTTATTCTTTGTAATCATAGGCAGACTCCTTGACCTCAGTCTGATATTGTTTGCTATCTGTAAATAAATAGATTATATCTAACCTGTAGGGGAGATAGTTAGGTTGATGAAATCAGATGTGTTTGTCCTGTCTTGGCATGTAGCAGAGGCTCAGTAAGTGGTAAAATTTATTAGTGTTCCTATTATCACTTTTACCAAAGTAATAAAGTGATATTTTAATGAAAATAAATTTTATGTCAGTGTGAAAGGAAAGTTTTCAGCGGAATTGATTACATAGTAATATGTAACTCTGTTTACAAGGAAGCAAATTTTAAAATGCATAATATAAAGAGATTTATTTTATTTACAGGTGACATTTTACAGGATCATGAGCAAGTTTTTGAAGATGTGGATGATGATTTTTGTAAAATCCAGAATATTTTACTGAAATTTCAGGAATGGCGAGAAAAGTTTCCTGATTCCTACTATGACGCTTTCATTGGTTTATGCATACCAAAGCTTTTAAATCCTCTAATACGAGTTCAGTTGATTGATTGGAATCCACTTAAGGTGTGCTTAATATGTGATTGTTCTGGTCACATTAATTGCTTAAATTTCCTTGCTATCAGGTTAGCTGTAAAACACCTTACCCATAGGATTGGAGCTGAAATCTAGAGCTTTGGAATAATAGTCTGGAAATGAGCACCTTAACTCCTCTGCTACAGTCTTCTTCTCTTGGCTCTCACTTGATTTTTTTTTTTTTTTTTTTTGGTACTGGGGATTGAACTCGGGACCTTGCGCTTGCAAGGCAGCCAGCGGAACCACTGAGCTAAATCCCCAGCCCATCTCACTTGATTTTTAAGGCTGAGTGGTACTGAACATCAGTACAGCAAACAGTTTTTGGTTTTTGTAGTACTGGGCATAGACCTCACTGCCTCACATATGCTATGCTGTGTGTTAACCATTCTAGCTGAATTTGGTAGCAAAGATCATTTCATTCATCCATTCAGCAAATAATAAATGGTCACCTCCTATTTACTAATAAGCTAAATCACAGCAGATTACACATTTATGCTTATGAGAATCAAGGAGCAGAAGTAAATTTTGTTTAAAGTTAATAAATTTTTCTAAACAAATTTTATGACCATTTCAAGTGCCTATCAAATGAATACTTTGCTCCAAGCAGAGGACTTACCATGTGTTTGGCTCTGAAGGCCCTGGCACAAGTTTGTTGAATATAATGGTACCCCAGTTCACGAACTTGCTTCTTTCCATGATTCTAGTCACAAAACGAGTTGGATGAGAACTGAATCAAATTCAATGGTTAGGTTCAAAGTTGACCTTATGGGGACATTTGATTCAGTTCTCATCTGGTTCAGTTTGGGACCAGAATTGTGGAGAGAATTCAGTTTGTGAGCTGAGGTACCACTCTGTCTTGCACAAATGAATCCATGAAATGCAGCCTTTTTTGATTGCCTAGGCACCATGTCTTAGTCATGTCACCTTGCCTAGCCTTGGTGCTCTGGTGCCATACACAGTATTAAAATAGGAAGTATTTGCCTTGATTCTTAGAAAAGTTCTGGTAATTTTTGAAAAAGTTGATAACTTTAAATATACACTGCTGTTTAAGAATTTATTTATAACTTTGATAATTTCATTTGTCAGTTGGGCTCCACAGGTGTAAAACAAATGTCATGGTTCACGTCTATAGAAGAATTTATTGATAGTAGTGTAGAAGATACAAAGAAGGACAATAATCCTGATAAAAAAATTTTGTCTACTGTCATCAACAAAACAATTATTCCTAGACTTACAGGTATTCCCTTGTATTCTTGCCAATATTAAAATGTTCTTTGATAGAGTGTAAGATCATTAATTTCTGTTATAATCACAGATTTTTTTTTCAGAAGTTTTGGAACATAAGGAAATGTTATTTGCAGTAATGATCAATAGATGTCAAATTTAAGCTGGTTTAAAAAAATGACTATATAAATGGTTGGCTACCAGACTTCTGATACTCTGAGCTTTTTGTATTTGTGACATTACTGCTGCTTTTGTGACACCTAAGTCATGTAGTAGTGATACTCTAGTCCATATTATATATATTTCTTTCTCTCTCTTGTCCTATTGTTTATTTTCTTTATACTCCCTTTTTTTTTCGAAGCATACCTGCATTTCCTTCTCATTTGCACTACAAACTATCAGCATTAATGCTGGTGCTTCAACTTTAAAGTCTGAAGACTCTTGTTTTACTGAAAATTGTACTTGATAAGGATCCGTTTTACCATGTCACAGAGAGTGAATTTTGACAGCAAAGCCTGCAGAACTCTATTTTAAAAGATAAAGCAATCCATGTTACATTGTTTCTCAGTCAACTTGATAAACTTTGAAAGATTTTGAATATTCTTCTGAAAAATCCAAATTTTTATGATTAAATAATCACTCAAATAAGTAGCTTAATATGAAATTAATACCTGTAGTGGTTCCTGTAGTGGATGAATTCTGTGTATATTTCAGAAGTAGCACTAACAGAATTTGCTGATGGATTGGTTAGGGCCAAGATAAGAAGAGAGGAATCAAGAATGATTGAATAGTTTGTGGCCTGAACAACTGGAAGGACAGATTGCTGAAGTGGAAAAGATTGAGAGGAGTAAGTTTAAAATAGGGAGGTGTATCAGGAGCTCAGGTAGGATTTGTTGGGTTTGGGATGCCTGTCATCCATGTAGAAATGTCACATGAATTGTTGAATGTATGAGTCTTAAAAAGGTAATGCAGGCAGAAGATTTATGGTAAGAATTTATTATTACTGTATTGTCAATGTCATTTAAAGCCATAACAGGACTTTAAATTCTAAGGAAGAGAATATAAATAAGAAAGAGAAAGGAAGTGACCTGAGTCCTGAGTTATTCCAGCATTTAGAAGTCAGAGGTGAGAAGCAGCCAGCAAAGACCAGAGGAATAGGCCGAAAACCAGGAGGTTGGTAACCTGGAAGCCAGGTAGAGAAAGTATAAGAAAAAAGAATGATGAACTGTGTCAGGTGAGGATTAGAAGCAGCCATTGACTTTTGCTATATGAATCTATCCTGTAATTTAATAAAGTCAGTTTAGAAAGAGTGGTGGGAAATGAGGCCTAATTGAAAGGAATCTTAGAGCAAATAGGAAGAGAAAAATTGGATACAGAGATTAGACAGCATTTTGAGGAAGGAAAGGAAGGGGTAGTGTTACAAGGGGATTATTTTTAATGCAAAAAAAAAAAATTGTTTGTAGGCAGATGTGAAAGATCCAGTAAAAATTATGGTAATATTGAAGTAGAAGAGCAGAATCTTTGAGTAGAACATGGGAGTTGGGATCTTGTGTATAAAATCAAGGGTTGCCCTTAGCTGGGAGCACCAGTGCTTCACCTGTAGGAATAGAAGACAGGTTAGAGCCTATGGGCCCAGATGCAGGTGGGTGTTGATTCTATGGCAGGAGCTTGTGGAGCTTCTCTTCTGCTTGCTTCTAGTTTTTTCAACAAATTAGGAAGTAAAGTAAACAGCTAAGAAAGAACAGTGGAGGAGAAAAAGGAAAGTCCATCAACTGAGAGTGAGAGCAAGAAGGAGGGAGAAGGTATGAAATACTCATCTAGGTGAGAGGGAGAGTGAGTGGACCAGAGACAGAGAAGATGACTGCTGCCAACCAGTAATGGCTCACTTGAGTTTATCGTGCTCAATTTTTTAAGCTACATGGTCTCAGGCATAGACTTAGTGAGAAGATGGATTTAACTAGGGTTCTGGGTTAACCAGAAGAGTCCAGTTAAGCCCAAGGAGGACAAGGAAATTAAGGGTGTATACAGATGTGTGGTAGTAATGATTGGCCATAGACTGGAACCTGAATAAAGCATGAAGTAGCCTCTGTTAAAGTCCTTAGTTGTTTTTACATGATAAGTAAAAGAATCTATCAAATAAATTGTACACCCCTGCAATATTTGTTTCAGACTTCATAGAATTCATTTGGGATCCTTTGTCAACCTCACAGACAACAAGTTTAATAACACACTGCAGAGTGATTCTTGAAGAACATTCCACTTGGAAAAATGAAGTTAGTAAAAGCAAACAGGTAATAATTTCTTGGACCTGAAATATACCTCAAAAGTAGAGTGTTTGCCTTGCCTAGTATGCAAACGGTTCTGGGATTAATCCCCAGTACTGTTGAAAATAAATAAAATAATAATTTATATAAACTCAGAAAGTATTTTGTGGAAGTATTTCCTAGAAAATTATCTCTTTTTCTTTGTACAGCATTCAGAACATTTTAAGCAACTGAGTAAAACAAAATCAAATTTTTGTTTTTAATGTAAAAAGTATTGACATTGCTTGAAGAATATGTTATGGATAATTGTATGGAAAGAGAAGACTTCAGTATGCTTTGTATGAAAAGTAAATTTGGTCAAACTTAGATTTAGGACTAGTTTGTTTTTTTATAGGGTATGTGGCAGCTTAATTTGTGTTCTATAGTATCATTGATTTAAAAAATAATTGTCATTGTAGTGTGTAGTATGTCATTTTCATTTTTCACATATGGATTTTTGAAGAATAAAAACCATATCTCATAGAAATATTGCTAATATGTGAAAAATACTTTAATCTTCCATTGTCTTTTTGTCCTAGTAATGGCATTGTACGATTAATTTTGTTCAGAATTTTTTGTTCAGAGTTATAATCCTAATGGATATATCATACTTCTATATAACATTATTATACTACACATTTATATTTGCATGTTACTACTGTTTTCATAAACTTTAGCTAAGTAGTATCTCCATTCAATGATTCCTTATGATTGACTATTTTGGACATTATTGGTTTTTAACATAGTAACAAAATGAATTTGCCAAAGTAAATTTACTGAATCAAAGAACATAGACAAATACAGGTACCCGTAGCTAGAGGATAAGAAGGAGACAGAAGCTAAAACGAAACAAAACAACAACAATAAAAAATAGAAACATAGACAACCAGATTAACTAGTTTGCACCCAAATGCAACAATGTGTGTGACTAAGTTTCTCATACTCAATTTACAATTATTTTAACAGCTGAGGCCATGAAAGTATACATATTTGCACTATTAATGTTTCTTTGGCCAGGCATAGTGGTGCACACCTGTAATCCCAGCTATTCAGGAGGCTGAGACAGAAGGGTCACAAGTTAAAATTCCTGTTAGTAATTTTTGTTTATGTCAACTTATTGAGAGTTTATATCAGAGTTAAATATAAAAAGGACTGGAGATGTAGCTCAGTGGTAGCACACTCTGGACTGATCTACAGTACTGAAAAAAAATACATTTTCTTTAATCTGTATCCACCTGTGACTATAACTAATGCTTTTCAAATTTTTAAATAATAGGATTTACTTAAATCCATTGTTTCAAGCATGAAGAAGGCAATAGAAGATGATGTTTTTATACCTCTGTATCCAAAGAGGTAAGAATTGTTAATTTCTAAATTGTTTGTAATATTGTATCATTTAATACAAATTTAAGAATATATTGCAACATCGGCTGGGTATTTAGCTCAGTGGTGCCACTGCCTGCCTCACAAGCTCAAGAGCCTGAGTTTGATCCCCGGTACCAAAAAAAAAAGAATATATTGCAACGAAAACTGCACTGTTTTCAAAATATACACACACACGTCTATTAAGATGCAAATTGAGATTTCAACAGATATTTCTCAGTCACCTGGTATATACCATACATGACATTCAGCACTTGGTCATCATGGTTGTTTTTTGTTTTGGGTTTTTTTTTAAAGGTATCCTGGTAACATGAAGGGTATCAGAGTGGTAAAGAGCAACATTTTTGTGCTTGAATCTACCATTGCTGTATACTTGACCTTGGGTCGTTCCAGGTCTCAGTGTCCTCACCGTACAGTAAGGACAGAATTGATAGTTGCTTCATAGGACATTAGAAGGCTGAAGAGACTACTCCAAACAGAATAGTGCCCAGCACAGAGGAAACATAGCATAAGCCTAGAACCTCACTGAAGAACCAGAAACTGCAACTGTGACACTGTATTTGCTTCATGAAACATGTAGTATTTGAGGTGTGGGCATACATGTGCTAAGAAGGCTTCAGTTATAATAATGATTTATGAACTGTAGCTGTTTAGTGAGTATTCACCGGAAGAAAGCAGTTTATGGAGAGGGGAAAAAGGAACCTCAGAGCTTGAAGATTTATTGTGAGTTGTGAGGAGATACCTGCATGTGGAAATTCTACCCTGGTAAAGTTTACTTTGTAGTGTTTTAGATGTGTAATACATATTCACATAGTTTAGAAGTACTGTGTAGAAGATGCAGAAATAGCTCCAGACATACTCAGCCACCTAATCTTTGACAAAGGAGCTAAGCATGTTCACTGGAAGAAAGATAGCCTTTTTAATAAATGGTGCTGGAAAAACTGGCTTTCCACAATGTAGAAGATTGAAGCTAGGACCATATCTTTCACCACGCACTAACCTAAAGTCAAAGTGGATTGAAGATCTAAATTTTAGTACTGATGCCTTTCTCACCATGACATTAGACAGTGTGCATAATGGATTGTAAATGCATCTTCTGCAGATTTACAAGAAATAACAACATTCTCAGAATTAACATTCTAAAATATTAAAAGTACAAGGAAAACACTAAGCAAGCATTTATAGCAATACTAGGACATTTACAATCATTGTTTTCATTATTGCCTTTTGCTCATTGGCACAAATTTTCTGTGTTGTAATTATTGTATTGCTTTGTATTTCATGTTTGTTATACTCATGACTTCAGGGTTAAGTATTTGTACACCAAGTATTGCAATCACCTTTCTCTTACTGTACATACAATGTAATGCACAGTTTTGGTGCTTAACAATATTTCTCTTTTTCTTCAATAAAGGATATTTAAGTTTAAAAAAAAAAACACTTTTTTTGTGTGTGGTGATGTCACCCCTGTAATCCCAGCACTGAAGAGGCTGAGGCAGGAGAATTGCCACAAGTTGGAGGCCAGTCTGAACTCATAGCAAGACCTTGTCTCAGAACAAACAAACAAGCAAAAATGTCTTTTAAATTTGGTTCTTCTGAATGAGTAAGAGTCTTTAGAACTTTCTCCTTTCTCTTTGTTTCAATTTATTAGCACTATAGAAGATAAAACATCAGCATATTCAAAGTTCCAAGAGAGACAGTTCTGGTCGGCTCTAAAGGTAAGCAAAAGACTACAGAAATACAGATATAGTTTATGATCTACATATGCAGAACATAGGGTCATAACCAAATTTCTGACTTAGGCTGTGTTTTCACTGCTAGTTTATTACATTCTTTAGGAACATTGTAGGAGATGTGGGAAAAAGAAAAGGCCTGGGAGGGAAGATGAGATCTGTCTGGGACATAATAAATACAGGACAAATTGAGACACAGACGTCTAGAAGGCATGGGGTATGGGAGTCCACATTTCAGGGACAGATCTGAGCTGAGGGTTTGGCAGTCTGCATGCAGGCAGTATCTATGGTCAGGAATGACAGGTTCTGAGAAGGGTGGGTGAAGTGTGAAGAGAAGGCTGAAGACAGAGCCCTGACAACACTTGCAGAAGAGGGGCAACGAAAGTCATCTTCAGAGAAACCTTACATTGGCAGTAAGACAGTGGCCTCACGGTTATCAATAAGCACATTGCAGATGAAGACAAGAATATTAAATGCCACAAAAAAGAATTAGGAAGAGGGCTGGGGATTTAGCTCAGTGGTTTTGCCACCTGCTGCGCAAGCACAAGGACCCAAGTTCGATCCCTGGTACCAAAAAAAAAAAAAGAGAAGGAAGCTCCCTGCCGCCATCCCAGGCTCCTAGGGCAGAGAAGGTGAGCCGGTCCCAGCACCCAGAAGGAAGCTCCCCGCCTCCATCCCAGGCTCCTAGGGCAGTGAAGCTCAGCTGGTCCCAGCACCCAGAAGGAAGCTCCCCGCCTCCATCCCAGGCTCCTAGGGCAGAGTAGCCCAGCCGGTCCCAGCACCTGGAAGGAAGCTCCCCCACTGCCA